TGGAGATTCCTGAAGATGTCGGCACCGTGTGACGAGCAGACGCTGCACGCAAAACCGATGCATGACGAACGGAGTCATCAGTCCTAAGTGCTGGGCCTACAAGAAGAGAGTTATTAATGGGGTGGGGAGAGGGGGAAGAAAAAGTGGTGAAGGAGAAAGAAGGGAGGCGTCAGCAGTAGCCTGTTTTCGCTTACCCGCCCTGCTGTATGCAGCAAGTAAGGCGACCCGGCTGATGGCACCACGCGACGGCCGATGTGGCATGAGAATATTGTTAGGTGTGTAGGTGATGGTTGTACGAGGGCTGGGATACTGCCAGGGCGCCCATACCTAGACAGGAGGACGATTAGGGTCCTCAACCAAAGCCTTTGGCTCAAAAGCCTAACGCCAAGGCAGTGGTGTTTGGCGGGAAATGCAAATGCATTACCGTTTCTACGGAACAAGTCGCCACATGTTCCAACCCCCAACTGGAGGACCACCACGGTAAGGTCCAGTCTCTTCGTGAGAGAAAGAATACCCTATATACGGAGCAACGCGGGGTGCTTCTAGGCGAATCGAAATAGGGCACATTCTTTGGTGATTTACAACTTTTCCTTATTTTAATCATTCCCTCCGAACTGCTTATTTTTTTATATCTACCAGACCGAAAGCCGTTGCGTTTCCCCATGATACGAAAGTGTAGCATAGTTTACCCACTGTCTGAAAATTAACAAATTATGTGAAGCGGCTACGTGGAGATCCATCACAGAGTACGCTCCCCATTACTACGCATACACTCATATTAAGCTTCAGTTTGCAGGAGTTCGCCTGTACCAGGTGGATTACCTCGAAGTTTGGACTTTCTTTTCAGCTTATCACCATGGGCCCCGAACAGCAGTTTTGGATAACTGGTGCTATTACTATGCATAGAGGTAATCACGTTTAGCTCGGGTTGTTTTTTGCGAAGAATTGCTTTCTAAAGAGATAGTAGCAAATTGTACCGAAGACAACAACCTAGCGCATCATCTCCTAAGAATCCGTTCTTCATTAGGCCACCCCTGATGTTTGGGTGATCTGCAACAGGAAAAGAATTATGTCGTGGATCGCTCTATTTTATGAAGTCAGTTGTTGCAGTTCTTTGGCTTCGTTGCCGTGCACAACAGTAGCCATGTTAGTGATATGACTGATAAGTTCTCCGTCAACTGTTTTCAATTACTTTGATCGAACCACACTAGTAGCACATGCCCCACCGTTCGTAAAACGTGGGGCATTCAGAAATTTCTGCCATGATTAGCCTAATTAGTTTTCCTTAGATGTGGCCGTTGACAATCACCCCACGGGAATCATGTCCGCAAACTCTCGTGAGTTGTGTCGTCAACATCAGTCACCTTCGAACGTATCTCCTCTAGATAGGCTGTTTTCCCGTCCGACTGTCGGTTCCTGGTACAGAGACAGGCGAGGATCCCATATTTTCCATTTATCTCGTAGCACCAGTGTTCTTCAAGTCACCGTTTAAGGAAATCCCTTTTCTACACTGGTGACAACCAGGCTGATAGGTTAATAAGGCACGTTGACGATTTTGCCTGCTGCTCCTTGAGCTCCAGATTTACCTGATCCATGTGTCGATCATATGCTCCGCAACTAGAACCTACTTAATTTTTGGAGATAACCAACTCGCGCCCTTTGTTTCCATGTATCGCACCTCATGTTAGGAACCGCTGATACAAAGCTGCCATGTTCCGTTTTCATAATAGGTTCACAGACTATCGCCTTACTCTGTAGATCTAACACGCGTACTAAGCCCAGTAAAGGGAGCCAGCCAGGCAGCAGCGTCATTACCCTAGATACGATTTCATTCATCCAGAGATTACGTGGCAACCATCAGGCTATGACTATCAGTGTACACAGTTTTCTTCTTACAAAGAAGGCTGACGGATTTGAAAGCAGGCTGAAACTGAGTTAACGCCCAAGTGTTGGAACCTATAAGTAGAGTATTAAAGTGGACGACGCGTTTTCGATGAGATTCTCTCCATACAGAAGTACATATGCGCAGAATCTGGGACAAGTTGTTGCCGAAGGTAAGAACGACAACATGCACTCCTCTATCAAACAAGACCAGTTTCCAGACATCGGAATACGATTCTCTATCCAGTCATTTGTATCAATCGCACTAGCCCGAAGATTAGAACACTAACTACTTTGGTCCAAACTCATTCCTACTGTGTTGAATGCTCCTGTCTGGGTTTCCACAGCTTGGCGGTCCGTCAGTCCCCGTTCTTCCTTCTGCTCGCATGGTATGACTTTCCCACTTAGCGTTCACCATACGATCTGGTTTGCATAAAGCACATTTTGTCTTTCCGTCACATAGTTCAATATAGATCATCAGTGACAGGTCACTCCTGAGGGGATTGTGACTATTTTCGCTGGTCTGGGTTATGATGCGATACACAAACCCAATTTCATCCTCTCAACCTATATGTTTCTCACCAGGAACCCGTTCACCATTGTACCGTTAGTCGTCGGAACCCTAACCCCTGAAATCGAAGCAGCGTACGGTGAGATACTGGCTCCGTATCTAGCGGATCCTGAAACCGTGTTTGTGATTTCCTCAGACTTCTGCCACTGGGGTAAGTTTTGTTCAGTTATCGATAGCATTAGTGTTTCTAAACGGTTGATGAACGTGACTAGTGATCCATAAGTAGTAACAGCTGGTTAAACATGGAGTCCGGAGGTGCAGGGACGCAGAAGTCATTTATCTCAGTTTGTCTGGGAGTATATCTATCGAAATTGCGTGTGAGCATTTGTTCAGTCTCAACTTAATTGCACAGTCGTCTCCTTTGGTTGAAAAACCCCGCATTAGAAATCATATTGAATGTCGACTGTCCATATTAGGGGCTCACTCAGAGAGTTGTCGATTTTAACCTTATATGAACTAAATCACCGCTGCATTTTGGGAGATTTCAGAAATGCTGACTCCGAAATTACTTTCTATGGCATTCCCTTCAGGCCGGCGATTCCGATTCCAATATTACGATCAAGCTGATGGAGAAATCTGGCAATCCATCGAGAAGTTGGATCTTCAGGTAAGGATATTCTTGGATGAATAATGATGGAAGACCATTCCTAACAAACCGGTCCAGCTTTTCTTGTGTAGCTGCAAACTGCACCGCTCACCGTTATGTTGTGCTTTATCTGTGAATAATGTGTTCGTTTTCCCCGAAAACCCAACAGGGAATGAACGCGATCGGAAGCCTGGACCCTGAGGAATTCACGGCATACCTCAGAAAATATGGTAACACCATTTGTGGAAGACGTGGGATCAGTGTACTGCTAAATGCGATACAGAAAATGAACCGCGACCGGTCCAAATCTGGTCATGAACTGCGCTTTCTCAAATATGCACAATCAAGTCAATGCCGGTCTCTGGATGACTCTTCGGTCAGCTATGCAGCTGCTTCGCTGGTGATTCGCCACTGACACAATACCTATAATCTTGTATTTGTGCCAAATAATCGAACTGACTTCCTTTGGTAACCAGAAATATAGTCCTACGGAAGCATTTTTACATTACTTTCATGTGTTGAAAGGCAAGCCGAACCTTATTAGGCCGCAGGGCAAAATCTCTGCGAGGCCAGAATCTCAGCCTCACGCGATTTGTATGTCTCCTAACAGCTAGCTACTTCTAATAACATCGGCGAATGTTGGATTTGGGATGACTCACAGATATTCAGAATGCCCCCACATGCAAATCCGTCTCAACATTGATTTTTACATCTCAGTGAATCCCAGTGGTTTGGGCTGACCGTAAAGGTACTTGATGTCGCACACTCTCGATGTTTAATTGAGTAAGTGCAAGATAGCAGTTCACTACATGGTCCCAAAGCTCATGAGCACGGAAGAAAATTGCTAGGACGTTTATAAATGAAGTTACTTTAGAAAACAATACATTTGAACAAAAGAATAGGAAACTGCGGAGAAGTGATGGATAGGACTAGGCCTTTTGCCGAATCACTTGAGGCTTAAAGGTGAGGGAAGAATGTCAATGAAGTTGCACCGTCGGCTAACGCATGAGTAAAGAGCCGGCGGCGTAACTGACAGACGAATCATTCATGCTTTGGCAGTGTTCTGACTGAGTGTATTTGATGAATTTGAAGTTGAACTGTGTGGACGGACCGCCTCCCTTGCGGAGTGATTCAACCATTTGCAGAAGAATACCAATGGGATGTCGACCACATATTGTGTTTCCATATTGATCCAAATATGCGGTAAATTCTGCCGGAGACAGTCGTTCAATAGCATGCATCCCCTGTACAAGAGAATAAGTAATAAGCAGATACATTCTCTAGATGACTTCGTAGAGGTAGAAACTTCTATGTCTGTGGTATATTTGCGCACTATGCTGATGCTGACAACCTTCGAACAAACTACTTTTCGAGATATGAACACAATCAATCATGTTTTCATCGTTGAGCGGCATCAAGAAAAACGTCAATTCAGATAACCGAATAGGTGCCCTTCACAACGAACAATGTACAAATACTTTAGCTACCGATTCTTTATTCGTCAAAAAAATGGGGACAGTTGGTAACAGCCACATCCGTTTAGATGTTGCTAAAAAGGTGTTCGAACAGTGATTTACCAGAGCGGACGCCCCAGTACGCATCTGAAGTTTCCAACCAGGCGTATTCCATCTCAAGATCCTGATGCAGAGAATCGGGAGCTCTTAACGAGACTGAGTTCAGTAATTAGTAGTTTCATCCCCCGCTGCTAGGTTGTTTATCTAACCGTCCTTGAATCGCACGTCCATTAAGCATACGAGAGAAACGAGTTCTGTGGAGTGGACGGTCCTCCGGGATGATGTCATGCTGTCGATGATGATGATGATGATGAATTAAGCAGTGTAACCTATGGTTCTACCAATGTGGGCGACTCGCGTTTTTCAAAAAACCATCCATGGTAACTCTAAACCACTGGCACGATGTGTTCATCAGGAATAGTGCTTCGATTAAATACAGAATTTTTAGCTGCCAATTTTCTCACCCATATTTGTATAACTTAAAAATCAACTTAAACTAGTTCGCAGAACTACGCGACTCGGTAATAGCTGACGTTAGATGTACCAACGCAATCTGTACCGCAACTGCAGAAATATACTTTCCGCAGCGTGGATGATGAACAGAGCACGAGCAGTCCACCAATGCGTACTTGTTTACTGATGTTAATAAAGTACTCCCAAACCAAGTATGCGAATTCACTATGATGTTACCCACTAAACTTGATGAAATCACTCAGCTGAGTGGCATTAGCAGTAAATATGATCTTATCTGATTTCGACAAATACACTCAATTGCAAATCATTTTGATTTTCATGGATGAGTTTTCCTTATGAAAATGGTCATGTCTGGATTTATGCCACCCCGTTCAAGAAAGTAACTTCAAAGAGCTAGTTAGTATGGAGCAAACATGTCGAAAAATATTTAATCAAGACGCCTGGGGGGCGAGGTGGACCAACTAGTTAGAGCACGAATCTACTGACCAGAAGGTCCGTGGTTCGAACCTAACTTCTGCCACTCGACTTCCCCTGTTTGAATGCATTTCTCTACTCAAGCGTCATTGTGCTGCTGGTCCTGACGACTTTCCACCTGCTCTTTTCAAGGACTGCAGTGGATTCCTCAACCAGTGCCTATTTGGGTGTACCTGGGAGAAGGAGACCGTCCCAGACAACTGGGGTGAATCGATAGTAGTACCCATCTTCAAAAAGGGTACTCGCAGTGAATGTAGCAACCATAGAGGCGTTAGTTTGATGCCTGTTGTGACAAGGTTTCTGGCGCCATTGATTCGTCGTCGTCTCATGGCGGCACGCGAAGTCTTGACTCGTGAGAATCAAGCGGGATTTCGACCGAGTAGAGGCTGCGTTGACCACATCTTCACACGCCATCAGGTGTTAGAGCAACACCACATGTACAGACGACCCACAATCCTGGTATTCCTTGAGTTCAAGGGTGCGTTCGATTCTGTTGATCGATCAGTTCTGTTAACTACACTTGCTCAGCAGTGTATGCCCCAGAAGTTTGTAAACATAATCCGATCCCTATATTCACATACTTCTGGGCGGGTGAGGGTGTATGGTGAGCTCTCCAAAAGCTTCCCTACAAAAAGTGGTGTCAGACAAGGATGTCCACTCCTCCCATTCTTGTTCAACTTCGTCATCGATGAAATAGTGAGGCGAACACTGGACGGTTTTCGAAACCCCGGTGTTCAAATTGTTGCTGGCGAGAGCCTTGTCGATCTGGAGTACGCAGATGACATCGCCCTCATCTTTGAAGACCATAGCGAAGCACAAGCCCTGTTGAATAAACTGACCGCCATCATACCATCATTTGGCATGCGCCTTGCACCTTCAAAGTGCAAAGTCCTGCTTCAGAACGTGCCATCTGCGAACACATCCCTTACAATTCAAGGAGAACCACTGAACATTGTGGAAAACTTCACGTACCTCGGTAGTTGTATTAGCTCTGACGGAAGTGTGTCTGATGAAGTCAGTGCAAGAATCTCAAAGGCTCGAATCACGTTTGCTAATTTGCGTCACTTGTGGCGTCAAAAAGGCATCTCACTGGATCTTAAGGGTCGTGTGTACCAGGCTACAGTAAGGGCTGTGTTATTGTATGGGTGCAAGACATGGCCTCTTCGGGTAGATGATGTGAGGCGTCTTCAGGTTTTCGACCAACCGATGCCTCAGAAGCGTGGCTGGTTGTGGATGGCGTCAGCGTATCAGCAACGAGGCGATTAGAAAACGGGTATATGGTTGTGCTGCAGGTACCTCAATCCGGGAAAACATCCAGCATCATAGACTACGATGGCTTGGTCATGTGCTACGCATGCCAAAACACCGTCTACCAAGAC